AGTCAAGGAGTTTGTTGTGAATATCCCTGAGGGATGTGATGATATGAAGAGTGAGGACTATAGGAAAGTCTATGTTAGGGGAAATGTTATGACATTCTCTCCTGCTATGATCAATAATTTTCTGGGAAGATTTGAAGAACCTCAAGCTGAGCTTGAAGTCACAAATGATCAACTATGCAGGGAGATAACTGGTAAGCAGGTGAAGTCCTGGCCAAATAAGGGTAAAATGTCAGTTGGAGGAATTAGTGTGAAATATGAAATCCTTCATAGGATTGGTACAGTGAACTGGGTTCCCACAAACCATACCTCTAATATTTCTACTGGCCTTGGGAAATTTATATATGTTTTTGGTACAAGGAAGGCATTTGGTTTTGGAGAATACATCTTTAATCAAAATTTGAAGCAAGCATTCTCATCGGCTGTTAAGATGCATATCTGTTTTTCCCCACTCATTTGTGGAATAATCATGAATCAACATACTGGTATTTTATTGGAAGCTGATAGTGTGAACAAAAGGGAATCTCTGGTGTCTTTGCATTATAAACTATTTGCTGGAATACATGTTCCAGGTATTGTCATACCATCTGCTCAGGTACCTGGTTCTGTAACTTCTAAAGAAGGAATAATTGCTCAGCTGAAGGAGACATGCAGGGAATTAGATGACTCTATCAGGACTAGCATTGCTAGGAAGATCAAGCTTGAGTAGTTGATTAAAGCTTTGATGGAGGAAGAAGAGAAGCAAGTTGGACCTGCTGATGTTGTTGTTGCTGACAATGTTGCATTTGATGAAGATGATTCTGATGGTGAAAATGAACAGGGTGAAGATGAAAAAGAAGGAGAAAAATAGGCCAATGAAGCTGATATTTACATGCAGTGCTTTGTTTGCTACTTACCTTTGTCATATTATGGCTAAAAAGGGGGAAAATACCTATGTACACTAAGCACTAACCACTAACTAACTACTGGTTGCTGTTGAGGGGGAGAATTACTAACCACTAGCTGCTGGAGAAGGAACTTTGTGTGTAAGGATATATTCTTTGTGCGTGAGGTTATATGCTTTTTATTTTCTGTTGTTGTTCTTCTGATATGTGTGTGTTTGATGTATTTTTAAACCTATGTTATGTTGTTCTGTGTAAACTGGATTGTGGTGTTTGTGTGCTAGGGTTATTTGTTCGTTTTAGCCAAAATTTGTCAAAGGGGGAGATTGTTAAGTCTCTGTATTTGTGATTGGTAGTAATGTTGGTAAAAATAACTTGGCAGCAACATGTTGAATAGGATGCTCTAACATGAATAAAAACATGTTGAACAAGATGTCCTAACAAGAAGTATCGACATCTTGTCTGTTATAGTTCTGCAATTTGGATACAACTGGTGTAATTACAGATTACTAAATATTATGTGAATATTAAGTAATCCTATGTGGCATCCAAGACTGAGGAATCAGAGATTCTATTTGAATTTAAAGATATTATATTTTTCTAAATGTTGAAGACATTTTAGAAAACCCCTTGATTGAAGACCTATTTTTATGGAGAATATTTTGCAGACTTTTAGCAACTGCCTTGCTGGGTTTGTTTTGAATCCCAAATCCAGTCCAGACGATGTTTATAAATAGGATGACACACATACTTTCTGTGGGGGATGTACTTTGTGTTAAGTGATTTTTAGGGTTTGTGTGTTCGTTTTATTTATGAGCCTCTCTAATATCAGAGTATGACTGTCTCTATTGAGTTGTAAGTTCTGTCAATCACTCCTAAGCTTTTAAGCATTGAGTGATTGTGTGTATTTGAAGGTTATCTTCTAAAAACATTTAGAGTATTATTATTCTATCACGGTGGTGGTTGAAAGGGAAGTGAGAGGGGTCTTATATCTAGGTGAGTCTTAGGTAGAAGTTAAGCACGGGTAGTGATTAGGTGAGTAGATTGTAAACTTAAGATATTTTGCTGAAGATCTACAAAATGATACTATTTAGTGGATTTTCTTCATGGCTTGGTAGCCCCTAGACGTAGGTGTTGTTGTACACTAAACTGGGTTAACAACTCTTTGTGTTTTGTTATTTTTTATACATTTAACTGTGTTTTATTTTATTCTTGTGTTTTAAACAAATACCAGTGTCTTAACATCTTTTAGGACATTTGATATTTGCATACCAGAATTTCACTTTGCAAACTTTGTATCATTTTCTTGGCTCTTTCATTTTTCAGGACAATCACTAGAGTAATGACAATACTTCTGACAATTGAAACACTGAATATGAATTTTGTCAGGTTTTCGACCACCACCTCTTCCTCTACCTGTAACACCAGCTCTTTGGTTGCTTTGGTATGAGGACTTTCTTTGATTCGGCCGTCATTCTTCTTGTTGATTTTGATCAGTCGAATTGTTGTAGCCTTCTCTACTTTTGTTGTCAAACCACTTCCCATTTCCTTTCTTTTCTCTTGTTGATTGCGCCTACAAAGTCACATCACTCTTTGACTTGCAGCTCTTTCAACCATTCTTTGTTCATGATATTCAAGCATCTCTTGAAGCTCTTCCTTTGTCAATGTTTACAAATCTTTCGACTATTTTATGGCTACTACCACATGGTGGAATTTTGGAGCCAATGACCTCAAGATCTATGCAACAACTGATCTTGATATCTACACTTTTCCATATGCCTTGATTTGATTCACTAGTTTTATAACCCTAGTGAAAAAACCTGTTATGCTTTAAGCAATTCATACGTTCTTTTATGAGTTTGTAACCTCACCTCTTTCACCTTCTTTGCGCCTCCAAACGATTTCTCCAAGATTTCGCATGCTTCTTTTGTTTACTCTACATCACTAACCTTTTTGAAATTGTCTGGATTAACACATTGATGAATTATAAAGAGAGCTTTATAATCTTTCTTCTTTAATTCTTTGTATGCATCTTTTTCTTGATCTGACGCATTTTTTGCAAATGGAGTCACTCCTTCCTTCACAATATCCCAAAGATCTTGACAACAGAAAACTATCTTCATCTATTTACACCAACTCTCATAATTCAGACTCTTCAAAATTGAGAGACTCGCCGGAAAATGTCCTTTCAGATGATTCATTGCCATCGCCATCGTGTTTTGCTTCTCACAAATCACTCAGCCAATGCTCTAGATACCAGATGTTGAAGTTAAACCTAAGACTTTGAGTAATTCCGACTCAATCTTGCTGAACAAGATCCAATCAACTGATTGAATTCTCTTCTTGCTCTTCACTCTTCACTCGAGTGAATCAACCAATCTTGGTTGCAAGATGGTTATCTCTACACAATGACAATGAAAGTAGAAAAGACGAAATTTGAGAAGAAAGAAGGTTAGAGATTCAATACAAAATAGGGGAAGAAGAAGAATTTCTCTAGAGTAACTCTTTGCTCTCAAAATGCAATTTTATTCAAGTGAATCACACTACAGTAATAGGGTTACTCCCTATTTATAGATTTAACTTGCTTGCTCCCTAAGCAAATCCCAAAAACAAAAAGCCCAAAAATACCTAGTTTTGCTAGCACTACAAAATTAGGTTTAAAGACAAAATCCATGTCAGACTACCCCTCTAACAATTCGATAATAAAACAATTTCGACACACGCACTAGACAATTTGACAACTTTTTTGTCTCTATCGAACAATCTTCTTCTACACAAGAAATTACAATTCAACACCTTTAGCAAGAGAATTTTACACCATTATCTTCGTCTCTCTCTAACTTCATCATGAACCATGATCCAAACTCTAAGACTTTGTTTGGGAGTTAAAAAAAAAGGGAAGAGAGGGTTTCGAAAAATGATTTTTTTTTTAAATATAGAAAAATATTTTTAAAAAATTATAAAAAAAATTATTTAGAGTGATAAAATAATACTTATCATTAATATATTTTTAATTTTTAAAATATTATAACAACAAAAAATTATATTTAAATAATTTGTTTAAACCTTTTAAAACTCTCAAAACCCATCTTCCAATACAAATTTTAAATTCTTTAAATTAAAAAAAAAAATTGTTATAAATAAACACAAACCCTTTAAAACTCTTTCAACCGAGATCCTTATGTTGTTTTCATTCAATCATTTTTATTTTTAAAGCCATCGTCTCCCTTCCCCCAAACACTCCAACAAAGCCTAGTATTGTGTTTGTAATTGTAACTCATCTTTTCAGCTCATAGAAAAATTGTTCCGCTTAAAATAAGAAAAAAGAAAATAGTTAAACCGTGAAAGTAGTTATAACAAGCATTAACTACAACCTTCAAATACGTCATAAATGCTATGCAGATAAGTTTGTAAAAAATTGTAGAACTCTTTTTCAAGCATTTGTTTAAGATTTTTTCTTACATGAATCTTTTGTACTCGTCAATAGATTATGTCACGAAAAATAATGAATTATGTAGAAATTCAATTAGAATTGAAGGATAAAAGAGTTTTGCTTTTATCTTTAGGATTACGCCTAAAAAACATTAGGATTAGATTAGGATAACATAATTACTTTTTTAAAATTGAGGATTGGTTTTGACATGAATGGTTTGTAGAAAACACAAACCCAGTGTGAATATGATATTATTGAGATGAGATCCACAAAGATGTCAGAGTACCATTTTTGTAATGTGGTGGTGTAGCGTAAAATTCACCTAAGATAACATGCTTTTGGTTTTCACAACATCCTTTATTGGGAAAGAATTTTTCAATAATTAGTAATTCTAAGTTAATTACTTGTATAATATATAAATAACTTTTTTTTTTAATTTATTGAATAATAAATTCAACATCAATATCAATCACAATAGATCAACTAAATATTAATTTGTTCAATTCATTAAGATACTAAAGATATCCTAAATTTATTTACTTTTCTCTTTTATTTATTTATTTTGTTTAGTTTGAGAACTGAGAATCAAATAAGAAGTCTCATTCATAGTCCAAAACAGTCTTTCATTTCACTCTCTCACTCTTTCTATTTCCTACAAACTAACAAATTACTAAAGAGAGTGAGAGAAAATGACAACACGAACCAACGAACCACCGCAACAACCACCGCAACAAAACGGCGGTGAGCGGAGACAAAGACCACTACCACCACCACCACAACAACAACAACACTCAAACGGTTACATGCATCAACAACACCACCCTCAATACTACCCTCAAACCCCCTCCCGCTCCTCCTCCTCCGCCTCCCTAAAAGGCTGCTGTTGCTGCCTCTTCCTCCTCCTCTCCTTCCTCGCCCTCCTCGTCCTCGCCATCGTCCTCATCATCCTCCTCGCCGTCAAACCGAAAAAACCACAATTCGATCTTCAACAAGTAGGCGTACAATACATGGGAATAACCCCCAACAACCCTAGCGGAACCACCGCTTCACTATCCCTAACCATCCGTCTGTTATTCACGGCGGTTAATCCTAATAAGGTAGGAATCAAGTACGGAGAGTCCAGGTTTACCGTGATGTACCGCGGAATTCCGTTGGGAAAAGCTTCGGTTCCTGGATTTTATCAAGATGCGCACAGTGTAAGACAAGTTGTGGCTACGATTGGGGTTGATAGGGTTAATTTGTTACAAGCTGATGCTGCTGATTTGATTAGAGATGCTTCGTTGAATGATCGGGTCGAACTTCGGGTTCTGGGTGATGTTGGTGCTAAGATCCGGGTCATGAATTTTGATTCACCTGGTGTTCAGGTACTCTTTCTATTTTTATTTTCATTTTTGAGAATTTTCGAGAATTTTGTTTAAAATTAAATATCAATTTTGTTTTTCTAGAGAGAGAATGAGTGTTACGGTGGTTTCTTTTTTTTCTTAAGCTAATGCGCGCTTTCTAGTAGTGTAGTTTGGTCTTTGATAACATGCGCCGAAAGTTATTTAGTTTTATTTGATTTTATTTTCACTTTAATTTTTTAATTTTTTAATTTTTTAATTTTTTTTTGTTTTGTAATTCCCGGTAATTGTGCGAGTTTGGGGATTCTTTGTGAAAGGAATCATTTTATGTGAGGAATTTTTGGGGACCTACGAAGGATAATTAGGTTAAGTTAGGGCGTGCATAATTAGAGTGTAACCGGATTTGGATGGTTGCAATGACAAGGATTGTTTCCGATTTTGTACGATTTGTTCTTTCTAAAAATTATAATTGATTTTTATTAAATTGATTATTATTTTAAAATGTTAGTTGTTAATCTATATTTTAATACATATATGATATATGCATTACTTAATTTATCAATAAATTTTAATATAAAAATTATTTTAAAAATCTAATGAGTTAAAAATTATACTCTAGTTTAAAGATAATGTGTAATATTATTTTAAAAATGGATATTCATTTTAAAATTAATATTTTTAAAATTATTTTAAACTAGAGTGTGAAAATATGTGAAAATAATTTTATATTAAAATTTTAAAATAATATAGTTTAATATTTATATTTAAATTATTTCATTTTTAAGATATTTTTTTACACTGTTAGGGTATATTCATTTTTTTAATTATAGTTTTAAATTAAATAAATTTTGGAGACAAAATCAAATCTATTTAAAAAATAATAAACATGTCAAAATATAATATTTTAGACTGTAAGTACTATTTAGAATATTGCTGTTGTGTTTTTTTTTTTTGTTACAAAAAATAGTTCTCATGTTAATTATTGAATAAATACGTAATTTGTTCTCTAAATTATCACTCTTTAATGAATCTATAAACTATTAAAATCACTCAACTAGTCTTTCATCGAACTAATTGGTTCATTAAATAATTGGAAGATAGAATAGTTTTGGAACTTTTTAGTTAAATTTAATACTAGTTTATAGATAAAATAAAAGAATAATAATTTAAAGATTAAATTGTCTTTTTGTTCATTAATTATTTTTTAATGATAATTAAGTAATGGAATGATTTATTAGATTTATTTAACTGAATAGATTAAATTTCAGGCCAGGGCAACTTTTACAAAGTCCTATCAACTTTGAGTCCAATTTTGAACTGAAATATGCTAATTTGGTCTCTTTTTTTCCCACCCATATGAATCGTATCATACAAGGATATTCCTTTATCAATTAGTACTGAATTTTGGTGGCACAATGGCAAGACATTCCAATAGCTTCTTTGTTGTATGCTACTAGTATATGATATTCCCTTGGGTCTCTATATCTCTGTTATAAAATAAAATTAAATCTATCGGATAATTAATATATTTGATCAATAATTTAAAAGGTATTTTTATAATAGGAACTAAAGAGAGTATTTATTATTATTTTTTCTTGTGTGATATGACTATAATGATATATTGAATTTTAAGGGTTCACAACTTTGCTTGCATTTTTTCTAGTAGAAGTGGAATAGGAATTAGGGACCCAAAAATTACCAATGTAGTAGTACTACCTTAATATTTAATAAAAAAATTATTTTTTAGATTTATTGAATAATCAATATAAATATTGATTCTTCGATAAATCTAAAAAATAATTTTTATTTTTATATTAAAGATCCGAGTGAGTAATATTTGAGAATGGAAATATTAAGGGCCCAAATGATTAGAAGATGCAAATAAAATGATAAACTTGTTAGGCCCCACCTGATTAGAACTGGGTAGCTGGATTCCAAGACCAGGCAAGGTAGTACCAACCACTAGACCATGTTATCAACAACAAACTTTATCACCTGCTGAACTTCAATAATGTCTTCCGAATAGTTATTTACTCAACATTTATTTCCCTTTTATGATCACATTGATACACTATAACTTGCTACATTTTAACTTCAAAAATCAAGTTTAGAATATAACCAAAAAACATTGCATGCAAATGTCAAACACTACTGCCAATTTGTTTTAAACTTTTTAGGACAAGTAAAGTCTTTACCATGTGACTATCCTCTTTGTGGGGCACATGGCTTCATAATTGTGCCATCATCATTCTTCTTCTTCTGCCAGTGTGAACATGCATTTTTAAGCAATCAAATTAATCTTTCTCTTTTTTTATTTTAGTCTTTTTTATTTTGTAATTAAACTATAGTACTTAACTTAACCCATAGATTAATGATTATGAACTCTCAACTGCACAGGTTTCGGTGGATTGTGCAATAGCAATAAGTCCAAGAAAGCAATCTCTCACTTACAAGCAGTGTGGATTCGATGGATTGAGTGTTTAATCAAGGATTAATTTTCACTATCAAATGTTTTTAATTTTCACTTAATTTCTCCCTCGACGACTCTCGTTTCTTCCATTAATTTTAAGAAGAAATGAGTAGGAAAAAAAAATAGTTCATTAGAGGAAACACTGAGTTTACAATGGCTATCAAAAGGAGTATCAACAAATTGTTTAACTCCATAGTCAAAGAATGTGGTTTTGGAGAAAAAAATTACAAATCAGGAAATTGAACATTTTCTCATAAGAATTTTGCATAAATTTTTTATTTGGTTACTTCCATTGGAAGGAAAAACAAAAGCAGAACAACCTGTAAATTGTAAAGTTGATCCATTGAGTTGGGTTTGCTTTTTAATTTGGTTACTTTCTTCTAACTTTTTTATTCCATTTGACCTTTGTGACTCTTGAGAAGTGCTTTTGAAGTTTTTCCCATTTGATCATTGAAATTTAATGTAAATTTTTTTTAATTATTTTTTGGACTATAAAGGGTTTCAATTACTTTATGGTTTATTTGATTAGATTATAGATTGCTTCATGTAGATGACAACAACTTGTCTAATGCACTATGTTTGGTAGTGAGAATAAAGTGTGGATAGAGAAAGAAAGTGGATAAAAAGAAGAAAAAAAAAAGGAGGACTAGGGGAGAAAGCTAAATAGATATTTTCTATGAACTAATGAGTGAACTTGGAAAGAAAAAAATTGTTGAATTATCTCTTATATTGGTTTGTTAAATAAAAATCGGAGATGATAAAAATGTTATTTTTAAAACAACAAAAGTTGAAATAAAATAATGAATATAAAATCTAGTTTTTTCATCAACAGGTGATTCAATTTTTTATAACATTAATTTAATTTCATATTATAATATTAAAATATTTAAAAAATTACTTTTTTTAAAAAAATTTTAACTAATAGGTTAAATCATTAGAAAAGTTTTCTGAAAAATGAAAGAGGAAAGATAAATGGAATAAAAATATAAACTATTCTTTGGGAGTGACCATTTAATATAAACTATTCTTTGGGAGTGACCATTTTATCTGTCATCAAAGATTCGAGTAAAGATACTTGAATGGTTATATTAAATTTGAAAAAAATTATGTTTCGAGTAAAGATACTTAAATGATTCTATTAAATTTGAAAAAAATTCTATGAAATTTGGAAACGTACCTCAATTGTCAAACATTTTTTTTCTCTTGTCAAACATCCATATGAACAGGAAGATTCTTTTAGGCACCTTAAGGCTCCGGATGATCTTTTCGTCGTTTGTATGATTGTTGTTCTCAATAGTGGTCCAAATATCATATGTAGATGCAATCGTAAACTCACTGGTTGATTAGGTGCCTCCTCAGTTGTAATCATCCGCACCTGATTCAGAATTAGGGGAAATAATAACAACAATTTTTTTTCAACATTTCTTGCTGAAACAAAAGCATCATGTTCGCCCAATCCCATTCACCAATTTTTGTTATGAGATCCTTCACTTTTTTATTCACTAGGATCTGTATATTACTCTGAATATGCTCTGTTAGGACAATTTTATGATCGACCCAACAATCTCTCCACACATTGATTCTTTCAACATTACCCATGTTCCAAACAACGTTGTTGTTAATTTTCAACCAAGATTTAACCATAGTCCTCAAAAGGATCAACTCATAAGATTTAGGTAATTCTATTCCATCTCCAACATTATTTCGTGTGTGCTACTGCTAACAAACCAGATGAACGCGTGTGGTGAATCAACCACTAATTTGTAAAAAAAATTGAAAAAGTGTTGAGATCTTTGACTGCAAGTTTTGATTACATTGTTATGTCTATTAAAGAGTCCAAAAACTTAACTGAGATGAAGGTGGAAGAACTTCAAACTTTATTAAATGCTAATGAGATGAAGCTGAAGTAAAGGAACTCAGAAAGGGAGAAAGTGGCAGAACAGGCACTGCAAGTAAGATTCAAAAGAAGTTTGGTAGAGAAAAGACAAAATAGGAAAAGAATCTTGCAAATGATGAGAAGTCAAGTAAGAATTCAAAGAATCACTCTGATTCAACCAATAAAGGCATGAGCAACAAGTATTCCAGAAAGAAAGTTGACATGAAGGAGGTGTAATGTTACAACTGTCAAGGATTTGGTCAGTATGCTCTAGATTATCAAAAAAATAAGGAATCAAGAGCAAAGATAATGAAGAAGTGCAATATGCACATGCTAGAGCATGTGACTCTAATGATATGTTACTCATGGCAAATACTTAGTCGAATAATGAACAAACCAATATGTGGTACATGAATTTAGGATGCAACAACCATTTGATTGGGAATAAAAGTTGGTTCACCAAGTCAGATGAATCAGTTAAAAAAGTGATCAGGTTTGTAGAAGGCAGACATGTCACGTCAATTGGAAGAGGAAACATAGTTGTGATTAGAAGAGATGTTCAGAAGGTCAGTATTGCTGATGTATTATTTGTACCTTATATGACAAGTAACTTGATTAGAATAAGTCAATTACTCGCAAAAGGGTATAACATGAAAGTGGAATAGAGTTAAATGAAGGTGTAAAATGGTGAAGGAAGGTTGATCTTGAAAGCACCATTGGTAGGTAACAAAACTTTCAAGATTGAGATCGACGTGGTTGATCATCAATATCTTTTTTTGACTTTTGTTGAAGACAAGAACTAACTATGTCATCAAAGGTGTGGACACCTAATACTCAGAGGTCTATGTATGCTTAACTAGAATAAGATGGTGTATGGCTTACCTCAAGTGAAAGAACCAAGTTAGGTGTGTAAGGAATGTTACAAAGCAAAGCAGGCTAGGAAAGCATTCAAACATGACTTGCCCATGAAGTCGAGTGAAAAGTTAGAGCTTGTTCACTCTAATGTGTGGACTTTTTGAAGTAAGGTCAAATGGAGGTAATTGTTATTTCTAAACTTTCATAGACGAATTCATCAGATATATATGAATTTACCTTATTAAAAATAAGAGTGAGATACTCACACAACTCAATAAGTTTAAATTGCATGTCGAGAAACAATGTGAATGAAAGTTAAAGAAATTGGTAACTGGTGGTGGATGTGAATACACCTCTAGAGAATTGCAAGATTTTGCAATGAGGAAGGTATATAGCATGAGTTCGTTGCACCTTATACACCTAAACACAATGGCATGTATGAGAGGATAAATAAAAGTATATTGAACATGACTAGGAGCATGTTGGAAGCTAAAGAAATGCCAAAGAGGTTTTAGGGTGAAGTAATTTTGACAACAGTATACATTCTAAACTGATGTCCAACCAAGAAGATAATTGACAAGACACCTTATGAGGCTTGCACATGACTAAAGCCAGAAAAAATTCATATTAATTATTCGGATCAATGTCTTTCAGGCATGTACTTGAGTAATTGAGGAAGAAGCTAGATGATTGAAGTCAGGCCATGGTCCTCATAGGTTATCATTCAACTGGTACATACACATTATATTCTCCAAATGATGATAAGCTAGTGATCAGTAGGGATGTTCTGGTGGACGAAAGAAAAAGGTGGAATTGGACTCAGGGGTCAGTTCAACATGAGAAAGATACAGTTGCAACTGTGCTTAAAGAAGACCAACAAATTATAGTCACTACCAATCGAAATGAAGAATCACTTGAGCATAATGTTAGAAGATGTGAGTGTAACTTTCCGTTAAGATATGTTTTGTATGATTTCAAAACTAGGATACTCTAGCGTTTATGTATATTAGGGTATCATATGAGTCTAGCTGTGCATTTTAGCATTAAGGAGCATGATAACATGTTGGAAAAGGATTAGAAAAGGTCCATGCATCAAGAAATGATTTTATGCCTCAAAAATGTGAAAAATTATGGTATAGGTCGACACATACAGTTATAGGTCCAAACATTGAAGAAAATGTCTTCTACGGGTCGACACATGCATTCTATAGGTCGGCACATATGCTGCAGTTTTAAAGTCTGTTGGCTCTGTTAGATGTGCCGCCTCTACAGGTCGACATAGGTATGACCTGCATAGGTTGGCACATGACTTGCATAAGTTAACATATGCATCAAAAATCTTGAAAATTTAATTTTTTTTCCATTCCTTTTACTTTCATTTTGCTTCATACTTGCTCACAGATATATATACCTGCTACATGCATCATTTATTTTCAATGATTTTGGTAAAATCATAAATGAAACCTGGAACATACTAAGAATCTTCATCATCTTTAACTTTGGCTTTATGCATACACACAAACAAAGTACACATAATCATTCACTGTTTAGGTGCAATCTAGAATCAAGTTGATAAGGTCCAATTTAGCTTGTGGTATTGTATTTTGGATTAATATCTTAGAGGGGTTTCAAATAAGAAAAATAAGGTGGGGTTTTCCTTCTAGATCAAAATAGGAATTTGAAGGTTTTATACAAGATTACTCAAGTTTGGATTCGATCGAGTGAAGTCTTTGAAAAGTTGTGGTTCTTGTAAAGGAATGACGTGATACGATGAATCATCTTGGTAAATCTAGGGTTACAACAATTCACAATTCGAATTCGATCAAGCGAAGGATTTGGAGGTCTGCGGTTCTTACAAAGGAGTAGTGTGAGATGGTGAATCGAATTGGCATTGATGGGTGACTTGATCAAGCTCAGATCAAGGGAAGAGAAATTGCTAGGATTAACAACAAACGTAGGGTTTGCAGGGTTGCATTTCTACATTTCTCCTGTAAACTACTATTTGCAAAGTAAGGTTAACTTCACTATCTTAATTCGAGTTTGAATTAAAGGCAGACGTACCCATACCGAGGCCGATTAGGGATCTGCCTACACAATTTCGTGTACTCTCTATTTTTCTATCTCTTTTACATTTCGTCTGCAAATTGTTGAGCTCATCATTTGTGTGATTAATTCGTTTGGTAAATTCTTTTGAAAATCGTTTGAAATTTTTGTTGTTGAATTAAACACAATCGTTTTGATTATGGTTAGATTTTAAGATTAACAAAAATGTACAAATTTCCA